GTTATGGGATGAAATCGGATAGGGATGAAATCGTTTAGGGATGAACGAGTTTAAAATTTTTAAGAGTTTAAGAGTTTTTAAGAGTTTTAGCAAAATGCTTTATAATATAGTATAGATATATAAGATAGTATAGATACACAAAACGTTCATGTTTTGGTTATTTCTTACGCCCTATAAGCATATGCACGTTTAACTTTGATGGGTTCGTTTGTTCCTTATGGTTAGGTGAAGGACAGTTTCCGACAAAGATGGTTGGTGAGAGTACATTCACATGTGTACGCGTGACATCAACATCAGAAGAAAATGCAATTGTAGATCAATATGCATATGAAACATCGATAAATATAGGAGGCCATGTGTTCAAAGGCATTCTATATGATCAAGGACCTTCTCATCAGATGATGAACTTTCAAGATAGGAATGCAGATGGTGGAGATCAACAGAATTCCACCATCAACATCCAATCTGACTCACAACCACTTGATAAACCTAGGCCTTCTTCCCCTCCCGACTTCTCCTTTGATATCTACCCGCACATTAAATAATATATATATATATATATATGTGTGTGTGTGTATATATATATATATATGTTATTTATGATTCAATAATTTGGCAAGATTACATGATCTTGGAACATAAATGCCAAATTGAGCCTTGTATAACCCTTTTGGAGCTCCATAACATTTTGTGTTTAAATCCATGTCTTTTATAATTATTGCATACTCATAATATGAAAACCTCACCGAAGGTAAGAAAGATGTGTGAGTTTATTTGTTGAATTTGCCATATCTATACCATATTATAAAACATTTGATAAAAACTCTTAAAAATCATATTTTATGCATGAAGTACTGCTTATTGATACATATTAATTAAAAATTCAAGATTACAAGTAAACTATGCATAAGTACAACTTATCAAGCTTAATATTTGAATTCATGTAACAAACTGTAGATAAATATAATAAAGTTCAGGATAAAATTCTCATTTTAAGTATATATCTAAAATATAATTAGGATAATTATTGACTTCTAATAAAATATTTAGTTATTATTTTTATAAAAATATGTATGATGGACATTATCATCTTCATTCTATTAATTTTAATAAATAAATTTCATCAAAAAAATACGTGAAACAATTTAATTTTTACATTGAAACAAAAATATGAGAAACAATTTCATCAATAAATAAATTATTTGAAACAGTTTCATCATATTAAACAATTTAATGAATTTTTTCATTAACTTAAACAATGAAATGACGTTTTTCACGGTTTGTACAAATGACTTAGTTTGCATTTTATCCCTCTCCCATATATCTAGGGCCAAATTCAGGGGAAAACCGAACATCCCTATATACGTGTGTGTGTGTGTGTGTATATATATATATATAACTTACGAGAACTGTGAGAAGGTAAGTATGGCCAAATCACATGTAATTTACAGAACGTCCAAAGGGTTGCATTGACCAGCCACTACATAAGTGAGTTTTTCATGCGACCATGGTGCCTTGACTAATCTCTGGCATCCTTCTTGATGTGTTGTAAGTCACATGTGACTTGACACTTTCGTAATTCTCATAGGTTGACCACATTCTCGTTTGACTCTCCTTATATATAGGTGCATGTTCGGTTGCTAACCTAACTTCTATTGTGAACCAGGGAACAAACTAGGGCATGCCACGTGCCCCAAACATTTTCGGAATATCCATCATGAATGTTGTAAAAAACTTCACATTCATTATTCATGATGAATAAGGCCATGTGTCGCGCTCTCGTTTTGTCCCTTAATTCACAATGGAACTTAGGTTCTTAACTGAATTTTCATATATATATATATATATATATATGTGTGTGTGTGTGTGTGTGTGTGTGTTGGGGGGGGGAGTCCAATAAAAGTTTGTTGCCGTGAAAATCAGTTTGTATGTGTTGTTTCATGAATGAAACAACAAATGTTAACATACAGTGTTATTTCATACATAAAATGTTTTGCATTTCAAACAAAAATACGTTTTATACATGAAGCATTGGACCCTCATACCTACACACAAGAGCAAAACATATAAAACAATATGAATCATTATTCAAAATCAAACTTATCGAATAATTTTGGTTGATTTTCACCTGTCTGATTTCCATATGTCTTGTCTCATCTATGAAACAATACATTTATCTGGTTATCAAAAAAAAAAATTCTAACTTTGAGATCGTTTATATATGACTTACAATATATATATATATATATATATATATATATATATAGGGTTGTGTTCACGTGAGACCAGTCTGTTTTCGTGAGACCCGTGAGACCACATTTTTACATGTAAACTTCACAGCAAAAACGCTGTAAAGGTTTAAAAAAAATCGAACCTTCACAGCAAAAACACTGTGAAGGTTTTAAAAAGTTACCTTTACAACATTTTGATGTGAAGTTTCAAGTGTAAAATGTTGGTCTCACATGATCTCAAGTCTCTCTCTCTCTCTCTCTCTCTCTCTCTCTATATATATATATATATATGGGTGTGTATGTAAGGAGAATCATGCAAAAAAAAAAAAAAACTAATTTGTAAAAAATAGAATAAATATGAGTCACATAATCCATTAATAAAATTATATCATAAATAAAAAATGGAAAATAGTTTTAAAAATTTAAATAATTACCATTTTAAATTGGATAAATCTT